GAATATGGAATAATCATGGATGTTTTAGCTTAAAGGTTTGTCTAGGTCTGTATGTAATTTTTTATTTTTTTTGCAGTGCCACTTTATACTTATCCAGCCACAGTCCCATAAATTCTTAGCTTGGTTGTACATGCATTATTTGCATTAGAGACAGGGGGCTTGCCATCAAACACTGCAAGCAGTTATTAAGCCTATCAAGGGATAAATAATAATGATCATTGCAACAGGTGCAGCTGCTCATTCCACTAAAACCATTTAGGAGAGTGGTAACATTCATAGGCACAAGCTAGTCACCTGATCTAGCTAAACATTATCAGATTGGGCAACTAATATGTCATGTATATGTGTAACTTAAAAATATGTCAAAGCAAAAAAAAAAAATCACTCTTCCTTCTGCACTGGAAGTTACCAGCGCACAAGATTTCTAGCAGAATCAACAGGTATTTTTTGTACTTGCTGAACAGATGTAACAAAACATTCAAAAGGTATATTTAGCAGACCAAAGAGGGTGAAGTTCATGAGAATTTATGGTCTTATAACTATTAAAAAAAATACACATGATAAAGGTTAGCTTAAATCAGAGCTAAGCTAAAAGTTTTCGTCTACTTCAAAAACTAATGATTAATGAAGACAAGGTCAGGTCAATGTGAAAACTCATTTGTCAACTTCCAAGTGAGGGAAATGCTTTGTTAGACAGTGTGAAGATTTTCTTCACTATTCCTGTTAGGGTGACAACTCAAAGGTTTGGATTTTTCAGTCCAGGTGACAACGGTTACTAGGACAGAGGGTGAAGTTCCCCAACAGGACACACACAGCATTAAAAAACAGTTCTTGCCCTTCCACACTCCATCCAAAACTAAATGAAAAAGTTTTGGCTTTAGTAATAGATTGATTAAAGGATTTTAAAATTATACCTACAAGCTTGCTCTTCCATAATTTGTTATTGTATTAAATATAGATATCTGCAGATTAACAACTAGAGGGGGCTGTAAAGGGCTTAATAGATTTCCCTACATCTCTTTCTCCACAGGGAGTCTTTAATGAGTTGGATGACTCAAGACTTGCATTGTAAAAAGGAGCAATGATGCCCAGCTATTGTGCAGCATTGCAAAGCAGGAAGTACATAAAGTATGTAATGGGCAAATATGGTTGTATGGCTATACATGGATATATCTTTCAAAATTATACATATTAAATATTAACACACAATAATAAGATGATTCACATCAAACTGATCTCTTTATATGTTATGTAAAATACATTGAAGATACTTTACATTCCTTTTAATCGATACCGCCATAAAATGTTCAAAGGAAAGATTTCATGTTTTATCCTGAACTAGAATCTAGCAGTAATGACAACGATAAAGTGGACAGCGTAGCACACCTTGACTAGAACTGACAAACTAAATAACATTCCAAATGTATTCGTTATTTAAGCTGCTTCTGTTGCATTAAAATGTAGTGGCAATTTACTTTCACAAACTAGAAATAAAGATAGTTGTATTAGCTTTGAGCACTTGGAGTCTCCCCCGCATTCAATACATGGAAAAAATATTTGGGGCGGTTTCTATATCCTCATCCAACTCACTTCCATTAGATTTAATAGAACCTAATAACGAAATTCAGAAAGGCTAGATCTACGTAAAGGAAAGGCCAGCACTCCGTGAAAGTGTTACCAGACAGTGGTCACCCTGATAAAGCAGGCCTCTGTGTCCACAAAACTGATGTTATTACCTTATGAGCAAAACACATTTATCAAGTGCTGGCCTTTCCTTATCTTGCTTTCTGTGGTACCACTGGCCGTGCACCAGAGATAAACATAAGGCTCTTAAAAGGTATGTGTGCATGATGGCATTCTACTACAGATTTGTCTCTGACACATATACATAAATGGGATGAGGTTTTAGCATCAAGCACGTCTGGAAAAAGCAGCCAGGTAGCTTACATACAGACCTCAAGTTCCTGGGAAACCCGACTCCCACCCCAACTGGAGGGATCTAGTCTAGGCTATAGATATATAACAGGCCTAGTGATCACTTTTTGAAAGTTTGCAGCAGAGAGGGAGTACCTTGGATCCCCTTTAAGCTATCGACTAGTCCTCTTCTCTAATTTTCATAAGACACCAATGTCCAATTGCTCCTTAATTTTTCCTGCAAGCTCATACATTGGACTGGCCTTTAAATTCAACTCTATATTGGCACAAAGGGGATTTCATGTCACATGAAAAACAGTTATATAATAAAAAAAAAAAACATTGATTTCACTTAAGAGCTTTATCACATTATGCATTGTCTATTATGACAAGCAGCACAGCTTTTGCAAAATTCCATAAAATAGGACATACATGTTTAACATCTAGAGCTGAATTATTGCCTCTTCTAGCAAGAGTTGTTCTCAACAGAATAAAATATGATGTGTATATTGTATGACACAGGAATCCAGTAACATTAAGTACGGCTTGGATAGTTCTTCTGATAATCTTTATACTTGTATACTAAGTATATACAAAAGTAGGCAGTTTTGACTAACAGTCTGCTATAGCCTTTGCAAAAAAGGATGTGACTAACAAAGAGCATTCAGCCAAGGCTTATATACCTCCATTGAATTTTACCCGTGAAAACGTACATACCCAGCTTATTTAATAATGCAGTGCAAAGTACAATGACAATGTGAAATTGTTAGAACCTGTACAGCTCGTCAGAGTTTAGTAGGCAGGAATCAGATGTGTGACGGATAATGCCAGATCGGTTGCTATTGCCTCAAGCAAATCGCACCTTGCGCTCAGCCTTATTAAGGCTAAGCTCACAAAGGAGCTTTTTGTGTCTGCATTTTTTACATTGAAAAAGCACAGTTGCTAACAAAAACTGAGAAAATAGAACTGCACACTGCTAATTTGTATGACTGGATTGGCGTCTTAACTTAGAGGATGCAGAAATCATTACCCTATGAACATAACTGCATCTGCATATTTTAAAAAGCTAGATATTTTTATGGTAGCAAAAGATTGTACATGTAGCATAATCTCATATCCAAAATCGGTGATAGACCTGACATCACATAGATGGTTATTACAACAGCCACAGTTTATATATTAAAATCAATCAACAATTGCACCTGTAATTTAAAAGTGAAAGTCTGGACTATTTCCCTTTAACCATGAATACTATCTGGAATAATGATAAACAGAGAACATTCCTTCTTTCTGGAATCATAAAAACATATATGGAAGCTGCCATTTTGCTTTTTTGTGAAGGCTCCCCATGCTTGCCTACAAATTAAGATGAAACATTGCTAGATAAAAACTGTACAGAACATATAAAATGTATAAATATGTGTATTGTAACTTTCCCCATATAATTCATATTTTGTATATAACCTAATCGGTTTTGCTATTAAAGCATGAGCAGCGATTTACAGCTTCTTCAGAGGCCACTAGAAGGTCATGTTTTTCATGCCTTGAGTTAGAAACACAAGCATAGTCACTAAATATATTCTCCACAAATTGTAGTGTTCCACACTTGATTCTCTATTGAGCACTGGAATAAGAATACGGCTAACAGTTTGCGAGGACTGGCGTGGAAAGAGCTGCACAGTGTTTCTTAGTTCCTGGTCCTCAAATACCATCAACAAGCAAGGTTCCCAGGACTTCTATGGCTTAAACCAGATGTTTTATTCAATGTACTATGCTTGATGACTATGGTTCAAAAATTATGATTTTACCTGCGGATTTTTCTATTTTTCCTAGGAGTTAACATTCTCCATTTAGACATACACAGTACTTTATAAAAGCTGAAGCAAATTGAACTACACCTTCATAGCAACTAACCAAATGGCAGTGGTCACTTTTCCAGTTCATACTGTACTGGGTGCTAGTAACAACAAATACACTTTTTGTATAACAGAAACTCTACATTTTGGGGAGAGCACTGTAGCAAATGTTGGTTAGGATCTTAAGAGGACTCCACCTACGAAAAAGGCCATTATAACGGTGTCACTCTCTTGCAGCTGGATTGCCCAATTATTGGTTTGTTCTATCCAATGGGCATGACACCAACATATTTTTTAAATGCAGTCAGTGTTAAGTACCTAAATTTGATCTGTTATCAGCCTCTTGCAGTCCCTGTACAGCAGGGCTGGAGTGTGAGAGGAAAAAGCCACAAGTAAAAGAAACCAGTTTATGTGCTGACAAGAAACATGCTGATAGGAAGAGAACAGAATAATAGAGAGATGAGCTTATCACTGTGCTGCTTCTCCTTTCACTGTCCAGTCACAGAATAGGGCAGGTCCAGGATGACCTGGGAGCAGAGAAGTGGATTGAATGATGCTGGGTTCTGCTATCAACTGAGAATTCTACAACCTCCAAGAGATATTAAATCCAGCATGTGCTTCAGATGGCCAGCAACTACCCATACAAAAATGTTATTAGGTGGAATTGACCTTTAAAGAATAAACCAATGTAAGCCCTTCACTGCAGTGTGTGCAACATTATAATCTAAACAATAGGAAACCATAAAACAAATATTCAAAATAATTTGTAGCTGTCTTAAAACTGGCATTTAAATTATATTGACAACAAATAAAAGTGCAGTTATACATATTAATAAATGCAATCTCTTTCTTGGCAGGTATTAATATATACACACTGCAATACCCGGACAAAGAGCAAATATGTCTCATCATTGAGACAAAGGCCAAGGACATTCATTAACCAATTTGATGCCATAGGTCATTAAGAAGTGTTAGCTGCTGTTGGAAAGAATGCAATATTGCAGCTTAGCTATGAACATCTGCAATACACAAGGTATTAACTGTGGAATGTTTTGTCTTATTGACAATCACCTGCCGCCTAGCATCTCTCCATGATATGACTTACCCATAATAACAAAAAACATTCTGAATTCAATTAAGGATTCATATGAATGTTCCCTAAATTCAGATTAAGGAGGACAAATGAATGTCTACTTCTGATGACTAGGCCAGAAGTATAAAAAGAAAATGATCTTTGTGAACAGCGCAGCAAAACATGGTGGTGTACATTCAGCAAAGCTTACTAGATATTAGCTTTAAGCAGTCATTCTCCCTTTTCCAATTATTAAAAGTGATAGGTTTTGTTCTTTACATTCCTTTTGGTAACTGCTGTGATGCAGTAGCACTGGCAGTCCCACTAGTCTCAGTGGAAGATAGAGCGTGGTTATCAGATGAACTTCTGTCCTGTGAGTCTGCAAGGCTATAGATGTTGTTTCCATGCCGCTCCTCCGTCATTTCATTTTTCTTACATAAAACATTGTCACTGTTTGCCACTGAACCATTGGAGAGGTGAGCTACTGGGTACCCTTTATTACCATCCAGGAGAAGTTCATCAGCTAGGTCCTCCAGTCCTGAAGCAGGGTTAAAGTGTTTTGGCACTGTTAAAGGGTCTTGAAGGGGGCTGCCTTGCTTAAGAAGTTTCTATTAAAACAATAATAAATAATTGGAGGAATCTCCTACTGGGTCAAACTTCAGTAACTTGCTAGCTGGCCCCACTGGCTGTCAAAATACCTGGACAATCTGATTGGATGCAGACATTGTTCAGGTATTTTGAGAGCCAGTGAGGCCAACTAGCAAGATACTAAAGCTTGGCACAGTGGGAGATTCCTCCATCCACACCAGTTCAGCATAGATGGAGGAATCTGTTGCGCTTTTTCCATCTGACCATAGGCTCAGAGTAAAAACATCTATAGGTGTATGGCCAGCTGGAGTAAGTTCTTGAAGGGGGCTGCCTTGCTTAAGAAGTTTCTATTAAAACAATAATAAATAACTATTAATAAACATATTTAATAAAATAAATATTAATTTTATTAAATAATTATTACTAAATGACAAATACAATTTATTATTAAATTTTTTTAAAAGTTGTTCTATACATGTTAAGTTGTAGTTTAGGCTTATTATTCATTTAGAAGACATTACATAGTATTAGCAAAGAAAACGTTCAGCAGCGCATCCAATGTTTGTGTATTCGACATAATAGTCTGATGGAAGGTAGATAACCCCCTGAACATAGCTGAATTCCTGCAAATATCTAATTAAAGGGTCACGCTTTTCTAGGCCTGAGATGGAGAACATGAATCAAGGAGCTTAAATTTATTAAGTTGTCTAAGGGAATACCTTTTCGAAACAATTTAGATTTAAAGTGTAACTTAGTCTTCAGGGACACCAAAGTGCCTTTCTCCAGTGATGCAAAATCTGTGCTACCTCTGGTCTCTGGTGTCACCACTGACATCTTCTGGTTTTTATCTGAGCTTGGTATCTTTATGGCTAGCCGGGACAGAGTAACTCGCAACTGTGTATGTGCACAAGAATAAATCTGGCCATACACCTCCATCTATGCTAAACTGTGTGGATGGAGGAATCTCCTACTGGGTCAAACTTCAGTAACTTGCTAGCTGGCCCCACTGGCTGTCAAAATACCTGGACAATCTGATTGGATGCAGACATTGTTCAGGTATTTTGAGAGCCAGTGAGGCCAACTAGCAAGATACTAAAGCTTGGCACAGTGGGAGATTCCTCCATCCACACCAGTTCAGCATAGATGGAGGAATCTGTTGCGCTTTTTCCATCTGACCATAGGCTCAGAGTAAAAACATCTATAGGTGTATGGCCAGCTTTGGAGTAAGTTCATCCCAGCACTCATGGCATGCTGAGGCTTGTACACTCAGCTGTGCATATGTGACTTATTGTACAATCAGAAAAAAAACACACTAGCAGGCAGGTAATGAGCTTTTATGGCAGGAGATATATACAGACTTTCCTCTGCCAGAAACGCCTACCTTCTACCAAAATTTATTTTCCACTTTAACTATGTCTTCTCCAACTGCCATTTTCCACTTCAGGTTTCAAGTGACTGTGTGATGTCAAATGTTTTAAAATGAGCTACACACTGAACAAATCAATTGTGCAATCTACTTTATAGTGGGAGGGTCTACAGTACTGAATATAAATTGAAAGGTTTGTTTATGTGGGTCTCATACTACATAACTGTTGATAAATCCTACAGAAATGGTACAGTTAGATTGTAAATTGTGAGCCCAGCTTTAGACTGTGCTTCCTAGCAAGCTGTAAAATACATTTAACATGCTGATTGTACAGTCTTTATAATTATACTTTAACATTCCTAACAACTATAAAGTATGAGGGCCTACCTAAATGATCCATCAAATGGTCAGCATAAGACAGTTTTATGCATAAGGCCTGCATACTATATCCTTCTTTAGGCATGTAAAACTGTCAACCAGCAAAGCCTTTAGTTTGCCAACATGTAATACTGATACCATTATTGTAATATGAATGATTTACACTGACAGGGAAAAAATAAATGAAAATTAAAAAAATCTTGTAACCTCCAAGAAGACTGCCCTATTAGACTGAACAATTTAGGAGAAAAGATTTAGACCCTTGGTTCCCAACTGGTGGGTCGTGACCCAAAAGAGGGTTGTGACCCAGTGTTTAGTGTGTGCCTTTCACTTTTCTGGGTGAGATGATCCTCAGCCTCCCACTAGTGCAGCACTGTCAGTTCTCGCGCCAAGCAGCAATTCAAAATATGCCCAAATGTCAGCTTGAGGTGGGCTGGAGCTATGGCCGCGCAAGAGCTCCATCCATGCATGCATTACTTACAGCTCCCTCATGTCTTTTAGAGGTGCCTGGACCGGAGTGATGCCACATTCTGGCTACTGGCACCTCTACAAGGTGTGCAAGGGAGTTGTACAAGCAATGCACATATGGATGGAGCTCCGACACAGCACAGCAGCCCACACTGGACCCCATGCTGAGGACCCACTCCAGTTCACGTAATATAGGGATACTGGGTGGATCTTATAAAAAAGAAAATAAAATTAAAATTTGTTTTTTGGAGTGTGTATATGTGTCTGTGGTTGTGTGTGTGTCTATCATTGTTTTTGATGGCCTGTTCACAATAGTACAATGCATTAAGTAAACAGTCCTGTGCCATTAACGCACTGTACTACGCAATCACAACTACTATGCGTTCTGGTTCTGGAGGTGCGTTGTGTTTACATTTATTTGGATGGCACCCCAAACGCACCTCCCACAGACAGCTCAATCGCCCACACCGGAACGCGCAGTACCGCAATGCAGTGCCAATTTGGTCGTGACTTAATGACCAAGGACAAATGTGGGTGCTGAGGTTTCACAGATTAAGAACCACTGATTTAGACTATTACCAATGCCTACTGATGATTGGTTTTCTGTAAAGGATATAAGGGTTGTAGGAGGAATGAGAGACACAGGAAAAATGAGCGGCCCCTTGAGCCGTTCGGTAACAGTGATACATATACAGTGTCTGTAAGATAAACATGGCACATATAAACCAAGAAAACGTACATCTTCCATTGCAGTTTCACGTGTTTCTAAGGTTGTACTCCTGTTTATACATTCAAGTAGGTAATCCAGCACAGATTGTCTTGGGTGCATTCCACTGTCAAAACGATTGTACATTCCACACCAGAACCTCCACAAAAAGAAGATTTAAAAGAGCTTTAATTTTATACTTATATATTACAAAAATCATGATTAAATGCAACAGATCCATGTTTAAAGCATCTTAAAAGTGGGTATCATTTTTTGAATACCACTCATGGTAGATTATTATTATTATTATTATACAGGATTTATATAGCGCCAATAGTTTGCACAGCGCTTTACAATATAAGGAAGACATTACAGTCACAATACAATTCAAGACAAGACGGTAAGGAGGGCCCTGCCTGTGAGGGCTTACAATCCAAAAGATAAATTCACTTCCACATATTTTTATTCACATAAACATTCAATAAATGACCAATAATGAAAAATATACAGCTTTAGTTTGAGATTTAGCCTGCATTAGATCAGCAAACGTTAGGTAAAAAAAAATTACTATATGCTATAATTATAATATTCCTCTCTTGCCCAACCCTAGGAGCTATTCCCTTGGCCTCTACCAATGGAGCATTGTGTTAAGGGGTTGACACCACTATAAGATTGAGAGGGGTGCCTAAAGCTGATCTCCGAGCAAATCCTGTGCCCCTGCCCCCAAACTAAACACACCATACGACCTCACCGCCTCTAGCTAATCCTTCCCTTTAATTTGCATTTAAAAAAAATTAAAATTGCCAAAATACTTTTCTAAATTTCTGTTAACATGAGGCATTGGGTCCTGAGGTTCTTCTGGACTGCAGAGTGGAAGCGTCTTCTTTGAGTATCCACCACGATGCCTGGTGATGTGGATATTTGTCAGTGGCCTCGGTCCTCAAGGGGTCCTGAAGACACTGGGGTGGGGTGGGGTTTTATTTTACTGGGATGTGAGCTATAAAAAGGTCACCTTTTACTCACAAGGTTTAAATCTTTTTTTTAAATGTAGCTGCAGCTCTTAATGAACCCTGGAGTTTGCCTCAATCCCTGGTATTTTTGTGGGTCAGTTGCAATCTAGTGCCACAGATAGCTACCAGAACTGTTCTTGTGATGTTCTGCCACTGCTTACAAAGCATCTGCGAGTCATTAAAGAGAACATTAAAGAGACTGTGTTTTGCTAATTTAAAAATGAAAATTGAAGCTACCTGTAAAGTAAACAATTAATACCTGTCCTGCTGCCACCACTCTACTGAAGAGAGAAGCTTGCGGAAGAATGTTCAACTGACACACTTTGCAGGAACTTCCTCTGCTGCGCTCTGTGATTTTGCCTGGTGGTACTCGCGTTACTGCAGGAAACAGTAATGCGTGAGGACAGAGAGAAGAAACTACAGAGTGCAACAGGGGACCAAGAACACACTAAGGTGATCTGGATGCTGAACATTATTAAGCAAGCTTTTCTCTTCAACAGAGTGAAGCTGGTGTGGGAAATATCAGAATGCTACAACAATGCCAGCTTTGAACAATGCAACAATAAACAGATGAAAAAGAAATTCATGGGAAACGAACTTACTTGAAGTAGAATGGAAGTGTAATTGGCTGAATCGTTTTATAAGCATTCGGAATATATAAGGGATTCACAAACTCCTGCTTCCGTTGTAGCAGAAATGGCCATAGTGAATGGGTATTTTCATAAATTCTGTTGAGATCAGACTGAATACGTTAATGGCAAAGAAAACACAAAATTTGTGGTAAGCACATGAAAGCTAACGTGTAAGGTATAACATATCATTTAAGCCCAACTCTAGGCAAAACTATTTTCAATTGAGAGATGATAGTTCCTGGATTTCCGCCATTTTCCGATAATAATAATTTTAAGTTAAAACACAAAAAGGAACCATTACAAAAAAAAAAGTTTTAAAAAAAAATCGGCAAAACACTAAAACCATAGATATATAATGAATCTTATTGTATGGAGGTGTCATGCAATCAAGTATGACCTTCTCTATATGCGAGAGGTGCAGAATGTGGGTTAGTGAGAGTTTCTTATAGGAGGTGTCAGAAGGAGGTGACAAATGAGCTGACAGGAGGAGGAAAAAGCCCCAAAATGACGTGGAAGTAGGACAGAAGAGACGTCCGAAGGTGAAAAATTTAGTCTATGGGGGTTATTCACTATTGAGCTAAAGGATACAGCCGTAGCTTCGGCTGATCCATCGGCTCTCTTCGGTCGCCGGAGCCCTTTGGTTCAGTCAAGGCAAAGGGCTGCAGTACAGGCTATTCACAATAGCCCGTACAGCCGCCGAAGGCGGCCGAGTGGCTCAGCCGAGCTGAAGGCATATGCTTCGACTCGACTGAGCCGAAGTGACAGCCGAAGCGGGTGCGAACGGCCTGTCGAAGGATGGCAGTTCGCCCCGCAAATGACAGCTGGGCGGAGCCAGCCGTGATTTCACGTCTGGCTCCGCCCAGTTGTAATTACAGACTAGCGTCCCCAAATGACCCAGGGATGCTGATCTGTCATTGAACAATAACAACTGGGCGGAGCCGGCCGTGAAAGTTTGTGGGATTCTTGAGAGTTTTCCATGACATCTAGCCAGAGCATACAATGCAATTTTTAAAGACTAAGCGCACTTTAACCAAATTGCATTGCACTCGAACGACCTCAATAGCAGCATGTTACTTCATTTCCAAAATAGTGGCAAAAAAGAGTGGTTATTAAATACCAGCAAAATAAAACACCATCTGTCTCAAAAAATTATATAAAAGTCATTTGGGTATAGTGTTGCATGACCAAGGAAGGGGGTGTAACATGCTGGTATTGAGGTGGTTGAAAAGCAGCAACAGTGAGTAGAAAAGCCTGTCCCCTGCTCGAATACTGCAGAGAAGGACCCTTGCTCTGTGTGAAAGCAGTGGTATCTCTACAGAAGTCAGACATCCCTCCTCCTTTCTCCCCACCCCAGCCTGGAAAATCAGATTGTTTATTTTTATATTGGACTGTAGTTCAATCAGAGACAGCATTGGTTAGATCTTAGCTTGCAAAATAAAATAAAAAAAAAATCACTCACTTAAGTTCCAAGCGTTCTTTCTGAGAATTCCCAAGAAAGTTTCCAAATTGACATGAGTAGGCATGATCATGAATTTCTAGCAGCAATTTCTCGCTGAATTCAAAGGCACAAGGGAATTGTTCCATTAAGTGCCACACACACTCGATAAACTGTGTGAATACCGGTGACACTTCTTTAGGATCAACATCTAAATGGCCACATCTGCAGCAGATAAAAATGATGAACATTATCACATTTTAAGCAGAAATACTCACAGAAAGATTAGGTAAAAAGATTCAATATCTAAAGAAAACCTTTCCTGAGAGAAACAAGGAGACTGACATCTCTCATTATTATTCTGCTAAAGCTAATTGCCTGGCTGCCATTCTGATGCTGTGGCTTCAACTTCTTGAGTCACTGACCTGAACAGGTAAGCCTTCTGAATTTCCAATTTTCTATACATGTTCCGGGCCAGTGACCATGAAAGTATTGAAGTCAGTGTAACAGCCAGTCCACTAACATCTTTAGCAGAATATCAGCAATGGTGGCTACTTTCAAAGAAGATTTACTGAATAAAAATGAATGCACATACAGAACTGCCTCCCTTCACAGCCTGTCTATTGTTAAAGACTGATATATTCTCACTACTACTTACAATAAAACCAGAAAAAAAAATAAGAGTTGGTACCCTTAATCACCAAAAAAGTTTTAAAATGCAGTTTCTAAGTTGAGTCTCAAAAATGAGAGATGAGGCCACACTGGTTGTCACTGGCTATCCATTACAAAGGCCCATTTCTTTTGCCTGTCCTCTTTCAGATTCTCTCTATACATCTGTAAGTGTCTAAGGTGACAGGTTTTCTTGAAGAACAACCCTCTTCTGCTTATACTCACCTTCGCTTCACTACCCTACCCCTCCATTGGGTCCTTCCATATATACCCGGCCCTTTCAAGTAAGGAGGAGTATGTAACCTCCTTCCAAGATGCTGTGCTTTGTCCTGAGCTGCCAATGCCAAATCCAAGCACTGTCACAAGAGGAGGAAGAAGTTACCTCTGTAAAAGCTCTGACACAAAGCTTACACAGGGTTTAGACTCCTGACTCTGATAGAAGCACAGATTGCGGCGTAGCCATGGGGAATACGAGCATCAGTGGCTATGGGTTGTTATGGGGACAAGAGAACCTGTCATATTGCCCTGAATGGCCAATATGCTTACATATGATGAGCCTCTATTAACATCTTTGTGCAACCATGATGATCCACTTAAAAGTAAGTAGTAAGAAGTGAAATGTCTGATAATTGGGCAATCTCTAACCTCTCTAGATATTATGACTTGTTGGAAAATCTAGGCGTGACTGGGAACCCACGCTTTCTTCATGTGCAGTAGGGGGAAATTTAAAAACTACATAACATGCAAAAGCATTAGTAGCAAGCATAAAAACCAACAAACATGGCAGGTCCTGAAGCATGATCTGTTCGAGGGCAGGCACAAATCTCCCCATCCCCCATCCTTTATTCCTGCACAGATATCTACTAATTTATGGAAAGCCTAAGGGCATCTCTAGACAAATAACATTAGTGAATGAAGCATTACTATTGATCTGGCAATGATGTGCAGTTACTTTATCCACTATGTTGCAGTCAACAAAGTCTTATTTACCTATTTAACCTTTGAATAATGGCCTGCAGCCAGATTTAATAGGCTTCTTAAAGGGTATCTAGGCAGCTCTGTGGGCTTTTGTTATGATTCCGAGTTGTAATCCTACATCTCATCCTCTGCTATATGTGGATGAGAATGTAATAAATAGAGCATGGAACATGATGATTACTAAACACACTGGTATACATTATTCAATGCTCAGATTCAGGTGATAAGGGTATTTTCTTCTATGGAGTTTTAACTAGCTGGAAAGTCTGGAGCAGAAAACCAAAGGCAGTATTAAAGTTAGAGATGATTCAGAATGCTGGCTGGCTTAAAACAGTTAATGTTTGGCTGCAATGTGCATTTTATGATCCCTACTGTAAGCACTGCTAGACATTGCCTTACTGTAAGTTACAAACATAACACTAAAGTCATAGTCTCACACAAATATAAAAATACATTAAATATCCAACTGCCAAGAACAACACCTACCCAAACTAATTCAATCAAAAGAACATGCCAGATATGTTGTTAAACATTTTGGTTTCCAAATCACTGACCAAAAATAAGAATGCAAATTAGGCAAGTCAGAGAAAAGTCAGACGTCCTCATCTGTCCGAGGGTCAGCATGGCAGCCTGAATAATAACGTCTTCAAAAGTAAAGCTTAGCAATGCCAGCTGCCATGTTTTGCTCATTTCGGGTTTTCTTTAATTCACCCTGTACATGACCACACATTCAGATGCAGTAATGCTATAAGCAATCTGATGGTCCAATGTCTGGATCCAAATCTTGCTGCCTCTAAACTGAAGAATAATCCTGGCTATTTTGTATAAATGGTGTATTTAATACTCTATGACTGGTTGAAAAACCAAAAGGCTTATGTGGTCCCTTTAAGTATGCAAAAACCATTACCTACCTTTGAGCAAATTTATGTCCCAGGGATATCCATTCCTTTTCAATGAGTACCTTTGAATAAAAGGATACATCATTGTCATCTCATATACAGTGCCGATTGTGTTAAAAATATACAGTACCATCAATGTGTTAAAAGTAATAGGACAATATCCTAACACATCTGAAGAAGAAATATCACTACCTTCTAAACTTATTCCCAGTTGGATTTGCACTTGGTCCTGTTTTGATCTGTTGTGATTAAAGGCCCATTTTTATTCTGTGTAGCTGCACCCCATACAGAATCCCAATTTGTGAGCATTCCTATGGGGGAGAAACAGCCAGAACTGTAGCTACCTGCCCCTCTCCTATGTCAATTTAATGTGCCTCTCCTCTCCAGTGGCTGAATCATTTTCATAACTTCCCCAAGGCACTTCTAGGCAATTGAACACACTGAGAAGTAATACGAACTATACTGCCACAGTCAGCCCTGGCAGGGCCTTGGGATCAGCCGCTGCTTGTAAACATTCTGGGTCTTTGGTTGCCTGGATGTGCAACCAAAAAGATGCTGTCACACACCAGTGTGTGACAGCATAGTTTACAAAACTTCCTCCGTGGCATGTTTAGCTGCCTGGGTGTCCCTTCAGGGAAGTTATACAAACTATTCTGACACAGTCAACGCTCTCCTACAAGTTCGGGTCTGCTTGGGGGAGGTGGGGTGTAGTTTAGTGCGATCTAACTTGCAAGTTCCCCATCAGGTCAGCCCAAAGTGGAAGGGAGCCACACCTATTGGTGACAAACATTGCTGGTAGGGCTGTGTGATCAGCCGCTGCTAGTAAACATAGTCTGCGCCGACTGGCCGGAGAGTTTTATAACTTCCTCCCGTCAGCGATGTGTGTGTAATCTGATCTGACCCTTTTCCCCTGCTGTGCTGAATGACGGTTCTCATCTCCAGGGTGCGGCTGCTGTTAGAGATGAGCGCCATGGTTGAACAGCAGTGTTGGTGGGGCAGCTGTCTGACCTCTCTGCTCAGCCACTGCAGTGCGGATCAGTACAGGACCAAGTGCTACATGTATTTTTGTCCCGTGCGGGACTTTAGATGGGTTCTCTAACGAGAGAGCACAGCAGTAGTAATTTTCTTTTAGGCTGTTGTTCTCCAGCTGAAACTCTGTATGAGGAAAAACATGGCAGAAAGAAATGGAGTGTAATGCTAATTTAGCGGTGTGTGTTATCTGAGATTCACTGATTCAGCACTGTAACAAGATTTTTTTTCTTTCTTTCATGTAGTTAAGACTGGCAGGTAAATATGTGCAAAGGATTCTAGGGCAGCAATAGTTGCTGGCTACAATATCTAAATATGTGATGTTTAAATTCAATAAAAATAAACCTTTTTTTTTTTGTCCCATACATAGAAAAATGCTATGCATGCCAATCATATTAAAATAGAACAGATAAATATTCTCTTAATCTGGTATTTTGTGATGGAAGATAATTGTAACGGTGGTCATAACAACATTTACAGGGTTATTCACAAATGTGTGAAGAGTGTGGAGAAGGCAGGAGAAGTGAACCACCTAGTCCAAAATAGCTGATTTACAAACATTCTCAAACTCAGCTCACTTTCCAGTTCAGCTATGTTGTCCTAGATTGTTCACTTCTCCTGCCTTCTCCAAACTCTTCACCCTTTTGTAAAAAAAAAAAAAAAGCCCTGTACGTTTTGAATGTCTTGCTATTGGTCACTAACCCTGTTAGTGACCAATGGTATATGCAGGTTTAGTCCCAATTCATCAACCAAATCAATCAACAGAACACAAATCTTTGAAGGTTGCTCTGGAGCAGTAAATGTTTTCACTTGTCTGAAAAAAATAGTTTAAAGACTAGCCATTAATGTTTTCCCTTGTCTTAAAAAAATAGTTTAAAGCCCCCCCCCCCCCACACTATATTGTACTTCAACATAACATTCAGGTTGGAGCTCCAAACTTGTTCTTACCATGAAACCTTTTATAGTTCTGTAAAATGGATCCAGGAGGATGCTAGCGAGCGAGCACACTTGTGCTGTGCGATCCCAGCCATCTGAGCAGTGTACCAACACACTGGTGTTATCTTTTCTTAATGCCTGCGGGAAGAAGGTGGAAAATGAACAGTTACTCTTTTTTACAAGGTTGAGTCTTTCATCTCGACCCTCTGTAAAACTTTACAATAATAACTTTACAACACTCTTTTTTTTTTGCTCTAACAATTGGATTTCGAAGTTGCAGATAAAACAAGAAAAAAAAGGCAGTTTATCCACATATCATGGATTTTCTGTTTGATTTTACATAAGTGAGAAAATATTTAATTTCTATCATATAAATAACAATAGGAGACAACAAACTATAACACAGTAGGCAAGGAAGCGGTTCTTAAAGTGAATCTGTGCCCAGACTATGGACTATTAAAGTTTTTACACATTCCTAACAAGCAGTAAAAATTTAGAACAAGCCATCCCTGGCTTTTCTAGCTGCTTATAATGTAAGGGGGTTCTCAAAGATGCTTCAATATCACAACAAAGACTTTAGCTTTCTAGCAGCTTACAAGCACTTAGGGTTAATTTACAATAGAAATACGGCTAGATTCTGTTCTCCAGAAAGTAAAGGGCAAATGAGTGGTAATAATGTCTCTGTAGTGAACTTTGAAGATACATTTCTTCACAATGCCTATAGCTATAGAGGTGAATGATGTCTTGCCAATGCCAATGCTTGTTCAGAATATGTAAATGTGATAATATGCTTAGTCTGGTCACAAGTGTACTCTAAAATGAAAAATGTAACTGGTTTTTAAAAGAAGAATTAAGCATGCAACCTACCTGGAAGAAAAATAAGCAGGCAGTATCTTTTTTAGCAAACCCATGCTTTACACACTCTGCTGTAATCCCTGTTCCAGGAGCATATGCTTACCCTTCCATTGCTTTCCCATAACTCTGCTCAGTGCGAAGAGCCAAAGCAAATAACTGATAATCTGGGTATGGAGGAGCATGACTCAATTAGTCATAGCTACAGTTCTCGGCCAAATCATTGCTGTCACTCAGGGCTTCTACCCATCATTAGTAGCTTACACATGGGTTTCCTTTCACTGCCAGCAGCTGAACAGAGTGGAGGGGGAGGGAGAAGAAGCTAAGTATATGCATTTGTAAAGGGCTGCAATAGCAGAGATTCACTTTAGAGGGCAACTGCGATTACAAGCAAAATCCTGTACCCTTTTGCTCACTCTCCTGATTATATTTATGAATAAAGACCTCCGTATTTGTTAGAGTTTACTGCTCTGGCCTGCCCAATGTTTACATCAGCATTGCTTTGTACTCTGAGGTCCTTGTGAATGTGCAAGCCCTGCTATAGAGAATGATGGCTACTCTGGGTGTATAAACCTTCATAGATATGGACATGGCCATTATTCTCTATGACCAGTCCATGAGCATGCATAAGGACTATGAAGTATGGCTTTAAACTTGTACTAGGGCATAGATGGGCTACCACTGCAGACCTTCTTGTAAATTAGCTAGTTGTCTGACTGTTACTTCAATACTTATTGAGTCACTGTTAGATCACAATTTAAGTCAGACTGAAGTTAGAACACTTGATCTGCATATGTGTTCTGGGTCAGTGACTCAAAGTTCTGAAAACAATGGAACAGCATGAAGATTTGCAATGGCAGTCACAAATGTCAGTGAAAGTTTTCGTTAAGAGTAATAAGAACAGAAATTCATAAAGACCCAAAGGTGCTGGGCAGGCCTTGGCAGTAACATGGTACATTCACCAGCATATAAAAGTCTGCAAATGCAATTACAAATATAATCAGGAATATGATGGGGTGGGATACAAGGTTTCATTTATAAACTACAGTACCGATGTAACAGCTGACATTTTAAACTGGCACAGCATACTCATCTGTATGCTTCTCAAAAAATAAATACAACAGTAGGAGTGTCTGGATTTTTTAATAACAAAGCTTTCATCTCGCATGACAAATGCTAATTTTGCAACCTGCTAATTGCACTGCAGCACTAGCAAAACATTTTAATAAGAAAGGCAGGAAATATGAGAAGTTACTCCCATCACCTGGTTCCCCTGCTAGCAGTTCTGTGTTCTATGAATACTGCACAGTGAGTTTAAAGATTAAATGAGACCTAAGGGTCCCCCATCTGTCCCCTTCTTTTTGTATTATTAGGGGATATACCATAAACCTGTAATTTGTAGGTACAATATGTGCACACATCCGAAGAACATGGGCAAGTAATTTTACATACTTTTGCTAGAAAAACTGAAGCATCCATTATAGCTTTAATGTGCCGTAACCAGCCAGAGTTCTCCAGGATGGTAAGGAAACTACTCATGGATGGACTCTTCAGTTCACAAGCTAAAACAGAACACAAACATATATAAAAGGACTGCAACATATTACAGTTGTTCACAAATAATCAACTGTTTAACGGAAACGTAAAAAAATGTGTGTGCGTTTGTATATTTCATTGGACCGCCTTTAGCTTTTCATTACGGCACGCATTTACAGTAGCATCGGTTCAATAAGTTTATGCAATGGCACAACCATTATTTCCATCCAGAGTTGCCTGAACTTTTCACCAAGATCGTGTAGTGATGATGGAAGAGTCGAACCACTGTGTATAGTCTTCTCAAGCACATCCAAAGATTCTCAAAGGGGCTAAAGGAGAACTATGGGGTTAGGGCTTTTCCCCATAAGCTCAGTATACCGCGAGCTACAGCTCGCGGTATACGGAGACGCCGCAGTATACCGCGAGCTGTATACTGTGGCGTCTCAGTATATCACTGTATACTGAGACGCCACAGCTGAAGCGGATCCCGACAATTATGTCTGGATCCGGCCAGCTGCGTGAGTGACAGCTGGCTCTGCCTATGTAGAGGCAGAGCCAGCTGTACCCGCCCCCTCCCCCGTCCATTCCACCAGTCAGTGCTGGAGGGGGGAATCAAGCCCCTCCCCTGTCACGGCAGAGAACTCAGTAGATCGGGAAGTGAGCGAACACATACCGGCGTTCGCTCACTTCCCGATCTACTGAGCCGACCTGTGACAGTCTCATTGTCACAGATCGGCTAGAACTATGAGGTGAGTGAAAAGGACTCACCTCATAGTTCTCCTTTAAGGTCGGGATTCTGTGGTGGCCAATCCATGTCTTAAAATTAAGTCTTATGCACCATGAACCACTCTTTCACAATAATCCTGGTATTGTCATCATGGAATTTGACTCATTTTTTGGGCACATAACATTGCAATCACTGCAGTAGTTAGCCAATGGAAGGCTATTACCTATTTGCTTAGCTAAATCCAGGTTTTTTTTGGCCAGGCAGTGTGTGTACATACATATATACTGTATGTATGTATGCATGCATGCATGCATGCATGCATGTATGTATATACACACACAAATAAATATACACACACACTATATATATATATATATATTATACACACACACACACATACATCCTACTGCTGAAAAGTTATTGCCTGCAACATGATCACTAGTGTTACATGAACCCTAAATCTTAAACTATAGTGCATTTAGCACAAAAATACCAATACAATTGCAAATACATTTTAGTAGTCCCCCAAAACCACATTCATCAAAGTTGAGAGCCCTAATTAAAATGAACTGTTTACTTTTTGTCAGACTAGTTCCTAGCACTATACATGTTGCAATTTAACTGTACAAACTCCATTGACCTACATTAGACATGAGGACACAGAGGGACATTTCATAGCCTGAGTGCATGGGGAGAAAGGTGAGTGCTGACCACCCTGGGATCAAGGATCAGGTAACTAATACAGTTTTACTTGAGCCCCTCGACAAAATGAGCACTTAACCCTTGCATTGTGGGGGTAGCCCCACTACAAGGGTAAGTTTTGTTTTTTTGTTTGCCTGGAGTTTTTCTTTAAATAGCAATTGCATAGTTTAGGTAGGTCCTCATTTTACATTGTTTTGGTATATCTAAAAGGCATTTGTACAGAGATTTTACAGTCTGACTGAAACATGTAAGGTAAGCTTTAGATTCAGAAACTAATATTAATGAAAATCCAACTTGTACTGGTCTGATGTGAGCACAGTGAATGGTGGTTGGTTACCATGGGGTACTGCAGTTAAGAATGTGAACTCTATTGAATAAGGCCATTGATCCAGCTTGGTCAAAGCTGAACCTATGACAATTTTCAGCTGGAGAGAAGATAAAAGACACAACCTGATATCAGTGAAGTTCAAACCAGCCTAAGGCTTCATTTCACACGTTTTTACATGCAAATGCGTTTAGATGCATCTGGTACCACATCCTAACATCAAATTGTCTTTAGATGCATTTTGGGGCGTTTAGAAGTTCAAATCAATTCCTTACTTCTATCTTTTCTAAACGCAGATAATCTGACAGCATCTAAATGCAATGTGTAAATAGATCCATTGGAAATCATTCGATGCATATATATGAGCTTAAAAAAGCTTTTTAGGCGCATATATACACACTTAGTGTGAATGTAGCCTAATTCACAGAATTATGATTCAAACCCTTTTATGAAAAAGTCTTAATATTGTACACTTTATGCACAGCTCTTATTTTCCTCAGTCATCTATCATGTCCTGTAAGAGGGGGAACGCTGCCTATTGTGAAAACGTTGAACATATATTCATTTTCATCAGAGCTCAGTCACAATCCTAGAAACCCCATTCCCCCCAATATGTCATTCCATACTGCAAGCATGAAAGGAAGAATCTAATTGGTTGGCATGGACAACAAAATCAGCTCTTTCACCTATCTTTTAATACATGCATTGACATCACTTTAAGAAAACAAATCAAAGCAGAAGCATACCCTCTAGGAGTTTTTGCAGGCTTCCTCTCATCACATGGATATTCTCAATCCCAATAAACTGGAAATGGATGTTGGGATAATTGTCTTCATTTTCATAACCCTTCCCTGCAGCCCTGTTTGCCATTGCATTCAGCTGTTGGGTTCAAAAACAGAAAGCAGGTTAGACAATGAAAACATCATTCAGCATAAAGTGTATTCCCACTTTTGTAGCAAAACACATCAGATAACATAAAAAAAAAATACTAAAAATTGCAGCTTAACATTTTATTTGCAGGACAGTCCCTTCTATGTATTGTTAAGGAGGGGACTGGCGAGTTATGATTACCATAATAAACTCGGTCTGTACTGAGCTGGCAGATCAGTTGTAAACTACATGAGCACACTAGCCGTTCTAACAAAGGGTGATAGATCTCAGGGCTTGGGTGGTATCCGGGAACAAATGAAATCCGTGAAAAATCAGGAAGGGGGCCAACACTTTTTCACACAACTGGAAGTGTCAAGCTCAATTTGTGTTGATAATTTTATCTGACTGTTGTAATCAGAATACTCTGCAATCTGTTTGACTGGACACTTGTTTTGCTCTTCTATAAAATTCAACAGATTTCATTCAAAAACACACAAAAAAAGCGTAACATGCATCTTTTGGGTTTTTGTTAATCGATTTTCAAATGACAATTACTCTAAATAAGAAGACTGTAAAAATGCCTTAAAAGCCCATGTCCAATTTGTAATTTAATCGATAAGAGAAAAAACGTAAATCCTATGGAATTGATTAAAAAAAGGGAAAGCAGCTTTAGTCTATTCTTAGAGGATGTGACTGAAAATCAAAGCGATTAGTGCACTGGACTGTATTGACAAACATAAATATTGTGTGCATACGTGCATGCTTATATGACTGAGGTATTGGATTTAAATGAACAGCTGGTTGAAATATGGCCAAAAGACAGCAAGAAAAATGTACAGTACATGCATAACAAAGTCTGCAGTTTAAAGGTTTTCTGCAAAGCTATTCATAGCACACAAGTACAGACTATAGCAGATGTGTGTAGGCAAGAACAGAAGTTAGCCTATGTTACCATTTGGTGTGTTAACATATTATCCAGTAATGAAAGCAAGTTTCTTTTTTCTCGCTACTGTTGCATAAATAAAACTGAGGCACCTTTAGCTCCAGCCAGAGCTGGATACAATTTCTTCTGAGAAAAGTGTTTAAATAATTAGTGCAAATACACAGACTTGATAAACAGACTATTAAAAGCGACCCTATCGGCATAAAAAAAATGACAGCACTCTGTAACAAACATCTGAATACTTGTCTTTCTGGTGGGTGTTCTGATTCTTCAACCCCTTGAAGATGATACAGAATACAGTGGTGATGTAGGGGTTCTGGGAGCAACCACAGTTTTTTTTTTTGCTGCTGCTTTAGGGCTTGTTCACACCAAATCCGGACCAGATCTGCATGAGTTTCTGCACATGCAATGCAATGTGTTTTGCCGCGTTTTTGACATGTTTCGGGAAGTTTGCATGCATTTTGGTGCGTTCCAGAGCCGAAAAAATAGGGTATGTTGTAGTTTTTCCACATGCTCTGAAACTGAACGCTCTGGTGTGAACTAGAGCCCAAAATACCACTGGAATACATTTGATGCATTTTTTACGCGTTCTGTAACTGATCTGCATCTGCTCCGCACTTGGTGTGAACAAGCCCTTAAAGTGGAACTTGTTTGTTGGCTGTCATTTAACTCAGAAAAGCATTGTCATATAGTGGAAAAGAAGAACCATTGCATTGACAGCCCCAGATTAAAGGTGGATAAAGCAGCAAAATCTCTTTATTTTAATCTTTTTATGGGCTATTCATTCTTTTTTTAGCTGGAATTCTGCTTTAGGGTATGCTACTGGCTCCTTATGGCTCCTATGCGTTGGTGGCTCCAGTGGTAGGATAGAAGGTATGTTGTCCGCACATCATAAAGCTTCAGAATATCATCTTTATTGGTATTCCTTCAGCATGATATGTGAAATGCAACACTTTAAATGATGGAGGGACCCTGCAAGGTTCTGAAACATTGCATTTCACTTCATGCTGAAGGAATACCAATAAAGAAGATATTCTGAAGTTTAATGATGTGTGGACAACATATCTCCTATTCTGTGTACTGTTGCACGGGTTGTTCTAGCACCCAAATAATTTTTGGGTATATTGGTACAGTGTACTAAGGAGATATCATTAAGATATGGACTGGTGGGATAACCCCTCCTAAGCTCCTGGCTAAAAACACACAAGGACGGTACGAACAGCGCTCACGGATAGGACCTGGGGAGTATGTGACCCTACCTAGCCTGCTGCCCTAGAAGACAGGAGGAGTACCTGTGCTTGTGAAGACCAAAAGATACAGAAGTGAGGGCGCAAAGCAAAGGAGGTTTATCTAACTGGGCTGGACGTTCAGCCCAGTTAGATAAACCTCCTTAGCTTTGCGCCCTCACTTCTGTATCTTTTGGTCTTCCTAAGCTCCTGGCTCTAACCTCCCATGCCAAGTCACAGAAAGGATCACGCCATTATGAAAAATAAATCAGTTAACAAATATCATCTTGCTTGTATGTAATGAAGTCCATCCGCAGCTCATCAACCCACGCCTGTGTTACCAAATAAAAAAAATAGCACTTTAACAGTCATGCTTTCAATTATAAAAGCCCATCAGATTCAGCACTCACTGGAAACGTCAGACCTGCATTTCTCTAGGTCTATAAAGGCTTGTGTTACAGCTATATCACAAGTGTTCAGAAATGAGGGTCGGTATCCGGTGAATGCTGAATCTGATGGGTATTTGCTTGTAATTGAAATAGTGGCAGTTAGAGTACTACTTATGTAAAATAAATGAAATATCTAACAAAGACAATAAGACCCCCATGTGTAGGGCAATGCTTACAGGCATGTATTGGGCCGTGTGCACAGATATCCCAGCTATTAATTATATCTGGAGGCACTCACCCAACACACGTATAGAGATAAGAAATTCAGGCTTTCCTTAGACTTTCATTTGCCCATGCTTGTTCTGGGTCTTTGACTCAGAAGTAATATAGCCAGCAAGGGCAGTTGTTATATTTTTCTTAACAGGAATACTTTGCCGCATCTGCCAGCAGCAGTATTGCAAAAATTCACTCTGCAGACTGCAAATTATATGACTTCCAGGCACATATGAGATGAAGGTGCTTTGCCATAAAACTGCCACATGGGTGCGACTATTTCCCATTTACCATTCACTGACAGACTATCGGGTCAAGTCACAAAGCCCTACCACATTTATTATGTACTTTACTGTGCTCTATTGTCATCTCCTGTCTAAAAGAATAAATACTAACTCACAAATAGGGATCTCAGGTCCTCAAGAAAAATACTGTATGCAGTATTTGTTACACAACTATATATAGTTAAAGCATGACTGGATAACTAATTCTAATTTTGTACTCGCATCTTATTTGCATGAGAGGAGGCTATAAATTATGAGGCTTCCTTTTGTTCATGTGTGCTGCAGGTTTTCTTAATACCAAAAAGACATATGAATGTGATTTTAATGTATTTCAAGTCATACCTTGGGCCTTGTGTCTACAACATACATAAAGGTGCTGCCTGGGTTGGCTTTGCTGATTATATCCAGCATCTTCTCATCTTCCACACAGCGAGTACTGAAGCCAGAGAGAGGCTGGCTACATCTGCAAATAGCAGCCTGGAAAGGGACATAAAGCAAAATGTAAGAGTACATAGTCTTGCCAATGTTTTTAGATATACATACAAAAAGATGAGACTGATGTAAATAATCTTAATGTGCTTGTAAAATGTAATTACTAAACATTTCTAAAGGTGTGTTTGTTGTTATTTTAAAGATATGGGTAATGGTCCGCTTTAAGTGCAATGATCCCTGCCTGCATCGGGATGAGCAAGGATGCCTATTGTTATTTATGATATATCACAAGGCACCACTCATATATATCTAGGTATGTAATTAATGTCTTTTGTTCAAAAGTTCAGGAAAAGTTATAGGAACAGGCAAAGCGCTAACTTGGTTAAATAAATAAACTATTAAAGTATTTATTGTTCAGATGTGATGCTCATGATGAACTTTGAACAGGAAGAGTGCATAGTATAGTTGCTCTAACAAATCAACTGGAACAGCTGCAAGTCAAAGGAATTAAGCTGGAGTTACAGGAGGAAGTCTGAGTTTACAGAGTCTGCATGCATGTACTTTGATCTAGACCATTCAAGCTCATACATTTTATGGACCATCCACCCTTATGTAGCTATATGTGCTACCATACCAGCAGCAAGCAGGATTTTAAAGTGCACCACACAAACATGCACAAGTCTACTCTCCATTAGCTTGGAGGCAGAGGTAGAACCTAGTCCTTGAAGTCAAGGAAATTTTGTTTGCACTGCAGGTGGAATCCAACATGGACATAAGCATCTTTCCACCGTCTGACACCCTGGTACTTCACTATGTAATGCCAGTAGAGCAAATCTCCCAATGTCATGTGACTATATCACATGGTACCAGCTAAAGCCTTTGCAGTGATCCCTCTTCCTAGGCTGCATTTTTGCAAATAGAAAATCAGTGAGATCATGAGGCCTGATTTTAGAAGATGATTTTAAAGGTACCATTACAACATATTTCTAAAGTGGTTTTTAATGCACTGCGGGGGGGGGGAAGGGGTCAGGTGTCACTACTGAATTAAAGGTAAAATAATATTAAACTCTCAAAAATGTTTTCAATAATAATCCAGATCAAAGAAGTATACATTGCACAGCAAAGAATTTCCTTACATTTTTGCCCAAGCACTTACAGTTATGTTTCTGAACAGCTGGCTCCAACTCTTTCAACTCCCTGTCCAACAAGGGACAGCACAGTCTCCACCAGCTATCCATCTACTAGCTTGGACAAGGGTTGCCTTGCTGTGTCTTTGTTTGTGGAGAACCACACAGCTTCTTAGAACACACAAGGGAGCCATGGGGAAAAGAGCCTTACAAGAACCCTAAAAGAGGAAATCAGGACCAGTGCTCAGGGAACCTGATGCTGAAGGAAATTTAAACTTTTAAACATCAAGCAGCAGCATCCATTGCAATCTATTTGAAATAGCTTAAAGAAAAACTTCATGCAGAAATAATCTCAACGCTTGCAGTGGGACACTGTTTTTTTTATAGTGCTTATACCTGTAAAAGAAGGGAGTGAATACACACCTTTTCCATGCCCTGTGACCTCAGGTCAGCACTCTCTCCTGCACTGATGTGAGGTCACAGGGTGGAATCCGTGAGAGCTCTGGGACCACAGAGATTGACACTCCTGGTAGTATGGGTTTCCCAGTGGACTTCAGCGACTTATTCTAGTGATTGAAGTGGTGCTTGGTGGCATGGGCACCGAGAAAAGTGAGTATTTACGGCCTTCTTTTACAGGCAACAGCAATTTAAAATGAAGAAAAGATGGCTTTAACTGTTCATTTAGGATAAGACAGATGGAAAAAACTAGAATTTCAAAGCCAGTCAGTCCAACTGTGAAATAAACAGGGAGAGCTGGGTGCTTTGCCCATTTAAAACAACAGACATGATTTAAAAAAAAAAAAAAGAAAAAGTTAGACATGGGTTAAGCACCTCAGTAAAGAAAATCAATCCAACAGTGGGGCCAACCATATCCTTACATGCTCTGACTGCAAATATCCACATATCTGCTAAGAAGTAACAAAAAACAATGTGATATCTTCTAAGATTAATGGTCATTGCTTTTGTTGTTTTTAATATTAAAAGGAGAACTATGGGGTTCTGGCTTTTCCCCATAGTTCTCCTAAGGGTAACAGGAGGACACAAACTAGTGTCCTCCCGTCACCCTAAGCTCAGTATATCGCGAGCTACAGCTCGCGATATACTGAGACGCCGCAGCTGAAACGGATCTCGACAATTATGTCTGGATCCACCCAGCTGCGCGGAGGCAGAACCAGCTGTACCCGTCCCCTCCCCCATCCGTTCCGCCAGTCAGCGATGGAGGATCAGAGCGGGGAGGGGCAATCCAGTCCCTCCCGTCACGGCTCTCTGCGGTGACAGGATCGAGAAGTGAGCGAACGCCGGTATGTGTTCGCTCACTTCCCGATCTACTGAGCCGACCTGTGACAGTTTCATTGTCACAGGTCGGCTAGAACTATGAGGATGAGTCACAAGCACTCAACTCATAGTTCTCCTTTAATGAACTGTAAAGTACACCTGTCATTACAATAAAAGTAATAAACAGATTGATTTCCTAAATATCCAAGCCACTGCAACATCCACATTTTTAAACTTCCTAGAGTGCCAAGAGTTTGTTCCCCTCCCCAACTGTCCAGCCTGATAAGATCCTTTAACGGATGAAAGCCAAAGCCAAACCCCAGGCAAGTAGCTAGATACAAAATTAAAATACAGTATTTGAGGTTGAATAAAGACACATGTCCATCGAATCCAACCTATACCCGCTAAAGAATTTGTCTTTTTTCCAGCCAGCCGTGTGAGCCAGTCTCCCATGTCATTTACTGGTACCAGGGTTGAATGAACTATGCACATATGAGAGATAATTTTTTAGCTGATTTTGGTCATGTTGTATATGATGCGTCTGTGCAGATGCATCATCAGAGACATGAAAAATGAAATGCATGTTCTGCCATGTCTATAGCCTGTATTTACTTGAATGGGAAGCAGAGGCTGTCACACAAAAAGGAACAGAGAACACAGAATATAGGATATGCAGCAACTCCTTTCAAAATAGATTTCAGCACACTGTAGAAAATTGTCCATAAGAATATACTGTATAGGGAATTCACAGAAAACCTGCTGAGGTAGGGCTTTTGGCCAAGCAATCAGTCTGTCAAATCCACACCCTGGGTGGAATACATGCATTTTGGTCTAGTTGCGCTCTATGTTTGGCACAATTTCACTGTCACTAATACTTATCTGCGCACAAAGCAATACAGATAAATCTCATCAGCTTCCTGTTCTATCGTGGTCAGGAAATCTACGTTTCCCTTGTGACACGTAGATATGCATGTGCAACAATATTTTCAGTGCATGTGACTCACATTGTTTTCTTTGTAATAGTAAGACAACACGGGAAACCGTTCCCTACTTCTAAACTTTGAGCTTCCAATTATTGTAGCTTCAGAGGCTTCTTTAGGCACAACCACACAAGTTGGGTAAGTACTGCAAATCTGAAAAAAACAAGCAGAAGTTAACATCTTTTAAAACTAGAGCAAATCCAAAATTTCTATAACAGAGCAAATTCTAACACAAAAACATATGGACATATGAACAACGATAATTACATGTTTGAATAAAAACTGTGAGTAAGTAGAAGGTGCTTTTGTTATACAACATTAATCTTTGTGCAATATGGCAATCATGCATAATCCATGGTGGGTCTCTGTTGCAGAGAATTTCACGGCATTATAATCCAGGGCTGTACACACAGCAAAATAAACAGTAGGTAACCACTTGTGTAGCCAAGTCCTTCAGGAATACCTTGGTTTGATAGCACCAAGTGTGAATCTATTGAGAGCCTACACCCAACTTTATAAAAAGATCATCTTCTTGATACAGACACATGGATAAACTTGTTGGTAACCTTCCATGAAAAAAAAGAACACATTTTCTCTGAAATAACTTGAAACTGACCAAAGTTATTAACATTCATTATTGTTCATTCCCTAATAAAATCTGCTAATGATTTAATGATTAAATAATAAAACAAATGAAAATGGCATGGACTTAATATTTTGTTGCAGGAGCTTTAGAGGCATAACTGCAAACAAGCCATTTCTGTAGCTCTCAATTTCTGCACCTGCCATCTGGACGTTTGGCCCATTCATCTTGAGCAAACTGATCCAGCTTTCTCAGATTTGAAGGGTGCCTTCTGCAGAGTTCATGTTTCAGCTCTTTCCATAGATGTTTAATAGGATTCAGGCGAGGGCTCATAGAAGGCCACTTCAGAATAGTCTGATGTTTTGTTCTTAGCCATTCTTGGGTGCTTTTAGTGGAGTGTTGTGGGCCATTATCCAATTGGAGGACCAATGATCTGCAACTATTACTTTAAAAAAAAAAACTTTTTTAATTTTTAATATTTCATTTAAACTAGGGGGCACTAAGGGGTTATTTATTTATTTACAGGGGCTTTGATACTTAGTATCTCAGAGGAGAATACAGTATTTGCCTCAGTTTGTAATACACAGCCGGTCGCAGCTGCACAACACAGTGAGCTGATGCCGCCTCTGTGGCTGTCACGGCTCTGCGATCAGAGCGATCAGCTATTGCTGTGCTCACAGAACTGTGACCACCTAATCTGCTGTTGACGGTCTGCTTTGGACCCCGAGGGACCCATCAACAGCAGTAACTCAATGAGCGCTGGTCCCTTCACAGACCAGCACTCATAGTGCCGAATGCCGGGATTATCCCATCACCGGTTATTAATGAATTAAACAATCGTGACTGTATAATCCTGTCATCGGTCGGTAAGCCATACAGCTCCAAACAGGGAATACTGAACTCAGATTGCGTTTAAAGTGCTGGCATAACTTTGAACAAGCATTTAGTGAATTTTAGCAGGCCTTAGTAGTCTCTGGTAGTACTTGAGGCATGAACCTTATAAACCCTGCTATGTGCCTGTTAAAAGCTACAGACAATCCTAGACTATAGGTGATGGGTGCTTTCAAGTAACACTCCAACTAAAACATTTTTTTAGTTTTGTAAAGTGCAAAGAAGGGTTCAAATTTCTGTTAGATCTTAACACTGTCTACATTTCCATTGGGGAGGTGTTCTGGGGTACATAGAGAGAAAGTGAGGGGAATTCACATTTTTACAGCGGTCACTGAAAACGGGAACAGAAGGGAAATCCTTCAATGGAGATACACTTTTCAGTGACAAATCTTTGAAGAGACTTTCACTTATTTCCTGTTGGTTTTTTTTAAACAGAGGAGGTGTACAGAAATCCCTACAGACAGCAGTAAAAACCTGACAGAGGTCTATCCAGAAGGTAACAAAGATTTGATCATGGATGGAGTTACACTTTAAGGATTTCTGGAAAGCAGGTTTACTCCGATTATGTGCTTTGCACATTCTTGCCAAAGGGATGATATTTTGGGCTAGTGTTTACAAGCTAAACAATGCCCAAATCATATATTTTATCATACTTAGCTGTTAGCACATTGGTTACAAATATAGACTAAATCCAGACTTAAATAAAGAGTTTTTAATAAATGCCTACTCTTTTACTAGAAAATTTTGCTTGATATCCTTTGAAATCTTCAGCAATAGGCAATATGTTCCTTTAGCGCTACAGGTTAATACCGGTCAAGGATTCGTACATGGGCACATTGAAACTAATACAGTTATAAAACCTTCCAATTAACAAAATGATTAGGATACAAACCTTAAAATCTTCATTGATATCACTAAACACCCAGTAATCATTAGGGATTCCCATACGCGTGTATTCCATTTTCAGGTCAATTAACTTCCAATCCATAAGCCGCTCATCTTGATCCGCCTTGGGATTGTAGGAAAATGCATACAGTTCTTCATATTTCACTAGGGAAAAAGATAAAAATCAATTCCCAATACACTGTTAGTTTCCAGTTTAGTCGATTTTAACAGTAGCACAGACTACAAAAACAGAACCCATTTAAAGAAACGCTTTCCTTTGAATGCTGCACGATTGCTGAAGCGTGAAACACACAAGGTCATTTTCCTGCACCCGTTTCCCATAACCCAAATCAGAAAGCAAATTTATAATGGTTGCAATAAACAAGGCAGAGAGGGAGGCCATCACATTACAAACTTGTCAAGAAATAGTAATTGATTGAGTCATGAAAACAAATGTTATTAAAAGAGAAATTGGGATAATGCGCACATCCAGCCCTATGCATAAACACAATCAGAAGACAGTGAAAGGAATATCCTTTGCTGGTCTCTAATTTCCACTTCAAATTAAATGCTAGACTGTTCCCAAAAAAGACTGATGTAATATACTAATAATGTGGCACCAGGCTTACTATTCATGATAACTGACCACAGGCTTAGATTCAAGTATTCAATGTACATTCCAGCCAAATTCATGCAGGAATTGCTGTAGTACAGCAGTCCACCCAGGCCCTTTTAATTAAAAAGGGAAGGCCAAGATCAATGCCAAGACTTGTCATCACCAATCAGATCCAAAGCTGCTTTGGATGTTAGAATGTGGTTGGCGATACAGGAGGCAGAAAAAGGTTACAGAATGTGCATCATAAAATATACTCTCAGTGACCAGTGAGGTGCTCTATGTATTCTGGATAAAGACGATTTCCAAAACCTTAGACTAAAGGTAAACCAAGCACTGGAAGCTCATTGGTTGATTTTATCTGGTGCCTAGAACTGCTTGTTACAGCATGCAAATATCTGATATCCACTATGTTCTACACTCATTTTATCTTTTAAATGCCCCCCTTATTTGTCAAGGATTTGCCCTTAAAACAGTAAAGATCCCAAAACTGCTGGGGGGGGCGGTGGGTGTTGTAATTAGCTTAAATGGGCTTTCAGGTTCAGTCCAGTGCGTTTGCATGCATTTTTGATGTTTTCCAATGTGATCAGGTGCAGCTAAAATGAGACAAGCATTATTTATTCTGACTGCATCGGAACAGGCTGCACTGGTGTGAACAGAGCACCGGCAATCCCATTGGAAAGCATTGTGATGCGATTTTGATGCAGCTGCCAAACTGAACGGACTGCATCACAAATGCATCTGGTGTGAACTAGCCCTTAGCAAATCATCCTTCACTGGTCTGACAGTAAGCTGCAGCTTGGCTGCTATGGGTTGGCACTCTGCATATGCCTGGTTGACATGATGAATGAGAAACTCACAAGTTTACCACCTGACATGCAAAATATCGATAGCGGTACAGAGAATATTTCCCCAAGGCCATTGTCTACGAGTATACTGGCCTTCTGCACCTGGATCCTATGTGCTGCAATCACGCTGCCCTGTGCAGATAACATATGGCAGTCCTGGTACTGTAAGATCCTAACTCAACATTTAGACATTTTGAAGCCTTTAAACTTCTTAGGTCATCCATATATTACTGAATCTGCAACAACTGTGCAACTTATGAGAGTGTGGCTATCAACAATCAAGACAATGTTGGAGTTCCATTCAATGAAAAACATAAATATGTTTCAATTCAGATGTCAGTTACACAGATAAGCCTGGCTGAAAATCTCTACAACTAATTTAGGATTGTGACCCAAAACCATTGAAACAATGTGAATGACCCCAATTTTATATATTCCTATTATCTTATGCGCCAAACATTATATTCACTAACATATAAAATCACATATAACTCAACACATGTAATATATTTAGAACTTTTTCCCCAAGTTGAAAACAATTAAAACCTAATAAAAAACTGACCTGCTACCTTCAATCATATTCAATTTCATTGCAAGGATATAGGAGAAAAAAGGACCCACCCATTTCATTAAAAACAGTGGGGCAATCTAAACAGGAGCTTATGGAGGAAGTTATGCAATGTGAATGGGAACATATAACAAACATAAAGTAGAAGTTATCCCAATGTGGCTGCAAAAGTGGAACAATGCTTTCAGTGTGGTTTTCAGAGATGGATTTATGTTCTTCAGTGGGGTAGACGGTAAATCCCCATTGTTTTAAGTCTTTCTTAAAGCAGCCCCACTCATTTGTACATATGGTGGTTTTAAATTACTGTACAGTTTAGGACTGACCGTTTTTTTTCTGGTCATAGATCCTCTCATTTACATGTGTCAAAAAGAAGAACTGCCCAAATTGGGATTGTTTTCAGTTCCGCTATGATCATTAAGAGCAAAACTACTTTTTTTGCTGCATTCTTGAGGTCACAGCACAATTATTTAGAAACTGTCACTTGACTTTGCTAGGTTTAGGGACCCAGAAAGTCTGGTTCCTATTGAAGTAATTAGAAAAAGAGAAATTTAATAGATGGTAACTGACAGTTCCCAAAAAAAGAACTAGTTTAGTTAAGTCTATAAAAAGCATTCCGTACCATCCCACTGGAACCAAATTGAAACTTTCATTTTTAAGAGCAGATTTACAGTTGATTTGCCGCTGAGGCAACATGCTGAGTATAATAGCAATTCATCACACACGGCCGTTAAAATTTTTTGGAGAATTTTAACAATATTAAAATGTGTACTCTAATTATATCCTTCTAACAAATCTATGCACACAAAGGTTTCATGGGCTCAAACAGAGTTTTCAATCTACCTGGCTGTGACAGCTTGAGCAATGACGTGTAAACTTCATGACAGTCCCGTTCCCGCAAGATGATGAAATGTGCCAAGCGGAAATTCTTGCAATGAATTATTAGTGGACAACCAATTGTGCTGAGCGGCTGTTTCTCGACAGAAGCAATGTGGTGGTGAGCAATCTGAGAAAGATAGTTTGAAAGACAGTGCAAGGGAAATCATTAAATCCAGGAAAAAACTTCCTTAAATTAATCTGCATCACAGCACACCGATACAAAAACCACCGGCTGCTAGAAAGTTGGGAAGAACAATTGTACAGGGTGGTACCTGTCTGGCAGTATATACATAGGAGCACGGATGACTTCCTGTTTTGTGCTGTAGTCAAATTTCAGTTGTAAGCTTTTGCAGTTACAGCCTCTATAAGAGTATGCTGGGCTTCTAAAAAGTTTTTCTGATTTTCCTAATGTATAATGTGACGGCAAATAAATATATACAGGTGAAACTCGAATAATTAGAATATCGTGCAAAGTTCATTTATTTCACTAATGCAACTTAAAAGGTGAAACTAATATATGAGATAGACTCAATACATGCAAAGCAAGATAATTCAAGCCGTGATTTGTCATAATTGTGATGATTATGGCTTACAGCTCATGAAAGTAGATTATTACATGCAATCAATAAAACAAGGATTGTACATAGAACAATATGGGACCTCTGAAAAGTACAAGCATGCATATGTACTCAGTACTTGGTTTGGGCCCCTTTTGCAGCACTTACTGCAATTACTTTTGCACGATATTCTAATTATTCGAGTTTCACCTGTATAGACATAATACAAAGAGCTACCACAAAACTCAACCATGGGTACAGTGCAGGTGCACATAGGTGCAGTACCTTTTAGATTCCTGATCTGATTTGTTTACACGGGTGGCAGACTTTTATCACCCTCTCAAAAGCAATCCACGGTGGATCGCTTTTCAGAGCATGGTTGTCAGATGATTTGCAGGCATCCAAGAGGCGATACTGCTGAATGACTGTTATTTTTGTCATCCCAAGGGGGAGTTTGCAACGTAATACCACACTGCAACTGCCTTGGCGTTGTGGTCCCATTGACTGCAATGGTCCTGTTTGTCAAGTGGCACCGCCCCTAAAACATGATATGCTGTATAAAATGTGCTGTTGCTGCAAAAGGGTACAAACCTAAGTGCCTGCCATGTTTAAGGTGGGCAGTCAGGGTGTGGCAAAACAGTGGATTGACCACGTGTTTTTACCATTCCTTTGCCGTATGTGTGAACGAGGCCTTAGAGTGACAGTGTCCCTTTAAAGCAGGGGTGGGCAAACTCTGGCCCTCCAGCTGTGGTGAAACAAATCACATCATGCATCTGCTTCTGAAATCATGCCTGTGGCTGTCAGAATCTTGCAATGCCTAACAGGATTTGTACTGGCACCACTAATAAGGTGGCAACAGAAAAATGATACAAGTGACATTAAAGTCAGGGGTTAAATCTTAAAAATGCATTCAAGTACCTTAACTATTAACAAAAATGTATCCTATTTGTGCATCACTCAGCTGCAGATCCTCAAATCCGCTCTGTATTGGTGCTGACACTGTCCTTCCTTCAGGAGGGTGGCTACTTGTGTTCCCCATGGTCCCTGTGTGTGTTGTAAAGTAGCCACCGCTGCAAGCTCACTCCTGTGATGGACTACAAATCACAGTACAAATGAATAAATTAAACCTTAGATTGTAGTCCATCACTGGAGTGAACTTGGAGCGGTGACTACTTTACAACATACACAGGGACCGTGGTAAACAAAAGTAGCCACCCTCCAGAAGGAATAACAGTGTCAGCACCAATTCAGAGATGATTTGAGGATCTACAGCCGAGTGAAGCACAAATAAGATATATTTTTGTAAATAGGTAAGGTACATGAATGCATTTTTAAGGTTTAACACCTGAGTTTAGTGTCACTTTAGGCAAAGCATAACACAATACTGCCATTCATGGAGGTTAGAAATTGCTCTAAAAAGAGCGACCTTTGCTGGCCATAAACAGCTTGATTTTCGTCCGATTCCTGCTGAATTGGACAAAATTAAGGACGTAGGTGGTCCTGTAATCCTCACCTGACTTGACAAAAAGCAACTTATAAAGTGAAAAAAAAAGTATCTGCTGAACGGTGACTGCATACTATCATATGCAGTCACTATTTGGGTATTCAGCCTGCTGTGAGTGCCGCAACAAATATCACAGCCGTCAGTGGAGATCCCTCCATCCACGTTGTTTTTCATGGACGAGGAAATCGAATAATTCTCTCTATTTCAGCCTCTGGGTTGAATGAGGGAAAAAGAAAACAAGAGACATGAAATGGATATCTTAAGACAATGAAATTTCAGGAGAGAGTCTCAATACATACCCAAGTTTCCTTACGGACTCCAGCAGTGGCATCAACATAAATAAGGTGAGTGGCAGTCAGGTATAAGGTACCATTGGCAGGCCTCTTGTTGGTATATCTGTCTAACAATTTAACATTCTCCACCTAGGATAAAGTGATGAAGCAAAGGGTATATAAAACATACCAACTACAAGCACATATTGCTGCATCACAACCTGAAAATATGCTCATACACAGTACAAAGGACAAAACAAATGATCTAAGCATTAAAGCTAATATGCTGCCAACATTTCACCTGTAATATTACTATTCCAAAAAGGCAGTTCAAAACATTACCCCTTTCTATAAATACTTGTCCCTTGGCTGTCATGCTGATTCACTAGATTCAGTTCTTTCCAATGATGGAAATAGTATGCAGAAGGTGCTGCACAGCGAGTGCATTCTCACCTTTCCCAGGAACCCACAGAGAGGCTGAGCGATAATACCCTAACCTACGGCGGAAGGTAATTGTCTTTTACTTGTGATAGGTTTTGGAGGGGGGGTTACCCTTATCCTTTATGCAAGGTCCGGTTTAAGCTAGAGTAGAACATGCAGCATGAAGTAACTCTCCAACCAATCACAAAGGTTATTTAATGATACTGAAAGCTGTAAACTGAAGAAAGATTCATTATGATTGTGATTGGAAGCTATGGATTACTGCATATAAAAATACTCCATGTTAGCCTAGAGTTTTATTTATAAAACGATGAGTACAGTGTATATCCAGCAATGTCTTGTGATGTGTTCCCTACAATATCACTGCTTTTATCTGGACCCCTAAGTAATTATATTTTATTAACACACGGTGTTAATAAAAACAGGAGCCAATGGATTACCTCAAAGGTATCAGATTCAGAAACTGCACTGGAAAAGGTCAGCTGGAATCTGAAGGGTTTTATCACGTGTCTGAACCCACTGGGCAACAGAGAGCGAGATCCTACTGGAAGTGCAATCTAAATTAAAGCCAAATATCTGACACTTAAAGGAGCACAGGTATTGTATTCTGACAACTGTATGCAATGTTTACAAATAATGATAGTACTGAATCAATTCCTTTATAGGAAATGTTCCAGAACTAGACCACTGATCTGTCCTACAGCTTTATGATGGAGCAGGTGAGGGCTCCCAGAGATCCCATTGCTGGTGGCAGATCACTAGTGTAAAGGTGCCCATACATCTTACAATTATCTGCAGATTGTCTGTGATCAAATGGAAAAAGTGCAACAGATTAGCCCAGGTGGAGATTACTCCATCCACTCAGTTAAGTGTAGATGGAGGAATCTGTTGCACCTTTTCCATCTGACCATAGAAAATCTGCAGATAATTGTAAGGTGTATGGCCAGCTTAAATCGGCTCTAAAGGAATGATTGAGGGGTTGTAGCAGTATATTTTTAGATCTAAATGCTGTGACTAAAAGGTGACTGTTGTAAGCACCCCGGGCAATGTTATAGGACAGTGGTGGAGAACCTTGGCACTCCAGCTGTTTTGGAACTACAAGTCCCATGAGGCATTGCAAGGCTCTGACAGCCACAGGCATAACTCCCAGAGGCAAATGCATGTTGGGATTTGTAGTTTTGGCACAGCTGGAGTGCCAAGGTTCGCCACCACTGTTATAGGATGTCGCACCACGAAAAAAAATATACTGGTGCCATGTAATGCCTCAAAATCTTACACAATGCGACCTATTAGTCCTTGCCCCATGATCTAAAAGCCCCTTTACACCTTACCCTTTGCGACTGATTACCTGTGCCCCATCACCTACTAGCCCCTTTACCCCTAACTCAATATGACCTATTACCCCTGCCCCCATCAACTACAAGACCCTATACACCTAACCCAATGCAACCTATTACCCCTGCCCCATCATCTACTAGCCCCTATACACCTAACCCAATATGACCTAATACCCCTGCCCCCATCACCTACAAGCCCCTATACACCTAACCCAATGTGACCTAATACCCCTGCCCCCATCACCTACAAGCCCCTATACACCTAACCCAATGTGACCTAATACCCCTGCCCCCATGACCTACAAGCCCCTATACACCTAACCCAATGTGACCTGATACCCCTGCCACCATCACCTACTAGTCCCTATACACCTAACCCAATGCAACCTATTACCCCTGCCACCCCCACCCACAAGCCACTATACGCCTAACCCAATCTGACCTATTACCTCTGCCCCATCAAGTACAACCTCCTGCACACCTAACCCAATGCAACCTATCCCCCTGCCCCCATCACTTACTAGCCCCTATACCCCTAACTGAATGTGATCTATTAACCCTGCCCCTATCATCTAAGAGCCTCTTTACAACTACACCAATGGGACCTGTTACCCCTGCCCCTATTACTTCAAACCCCTATATACCTAACCCAATGTGATCTATTACCCCTTCGCCTTTACATACACACCCCACTACACCTGCCTCACCAATCATACACCCCATTACCCCTAGGCTCCTCATCCATACACCCCTTTACCCCTAGGCTCCTCACCTATACACCCCTATCACTCCTTCCCCCTTTTATTGCTGATTCCTGACCCAGCGTGTCCTATACACCCAATTACACTTCCCACCCTGTAGTAAGGAATAGCTCGGGCACGGTAGAGCAGCTCCAGCCATCCCGGGGCATGCAGCAATCACAATGCACATAGAGGAGTGGAGCAGAACTTTATTGATCACTATGCAGTCCGTCCGTGCAGCATTTGGATGGTCATACACACTGACACCGAGGTCTGACTACTGCTCACCTTTGGGGTGGAGATGTGCTCCATGGTTGTCTACACCGATCTGCTCACCATCTCCTGTCCCCACCCCCCTTCTTCCTGCCCGCCCCCTCCAGTCAGCTGACCGACGGCGTCACAGCCCAAGCAAGAGTCGCGATATCAGAGGTCAGCTCGGGAACCGGTGGATTCTCATGAGGTCCAGACAAGTGATAAAACACCGGCTGCTGTACATAGAGATATGCCGCTCTATAGACAGATAAAGAGAGACAAGGGAGGCCACTGTATACAGAGCTATACCCCCGAGGGGACACTATATACATAGATATACGGCTGAGGTTACACTATATACAGAGATACACTATAGTGCCAAAAGTATTGGGACACAGCTCGGCCATGGAAACCCATTCCATGAAGTTCACTACGCATTGTTGTTGTGCCAATCTGAAGGCCACATGAAGGTTGGAGGTCTGTAGCTATTGACTCTGCGCACTGACCCCGCTCTGTCATTTTACTTGGCCTACCACTTCATGGCTGAGTTGCTGTTGTTCCCAGCTGCTTCCACTTTGTTATAATAGCAGTAACTGGTGACCGTGGAATATTTAATAGCAAGGAAATTTCACGGATGGACTTATTGCAGGGTGGCAACCAGTCATGGTACCACGCTTGTATTCACTGAGCTCCTGAGGCCTTGTTCACACCAAGCGCGGAGCAGTTGCAGACCGGATCAAAACTGCGTACAATTGTATTTTTTGCTCCAGTTCACATCGCAGCGTGCAGTTCCAGAGCAGGTGAAAAAACTGCAGCAGGCCCTATTTTACCTGCTTTGGATCTGCAAACGCATCAAAAAGCATGCAAATGCCTGGAATGCACTGAAAGCCCATGTTTTTGCAGAAACCTGAGCGGATCTGCTCTGCATTTGGTATGAACAAGGCCTGAGAGAGACCCATTCTTTTACAAATGTTTGTAGAAGCAGTCTGCATGCTTAGGTGCTTGATTATATACACATGTGGCCATGGAGGTGATTGGAACACCTGAATCCAATGATTTGGAGGGGTGTCCCAATACTTTTGGCAATATAGTGTATACTGCAGAGGCGACACTATATACAGAGGTATACTGTCGAGGGGACACTATATACAGAGGTATACTGCCGAGGGGGCACTATATACAAAGATATACCGCTAAGGGGGACACTATACAGAGATATATAGCTAAGGGGACACTGTATACAGAGATATACTGCTGAGGAGACACTATATACTAGGACCGTAGCAACCATGAGGTGAGTGAGGCACTCGCCTTAGGTGCAGCTGAGAGGGGATGCAGCCAGGGCAGGGCACTCCCACCCCTGTTGTCATGGTGAGCACAGAGTGCCATGGCAAGGGGGGCACCAGGTGGCTAACACAACCGCAGCTCGGCAGGGAGAAGAGGGGCAGCACAGGCTCCAGCTTCTCGGATCCCCACTGCTCTCCCCCGACTGTATGAGCAGAAGCAGTGGGGATTTGATGAGAAATGGGGCGCTGCGGGGGATTGGAGGAGGGTGCTGTCATCCAAGATGGCTTGGCGGTGAGGAGAGAGAGCCGCATAGTACTATGTGTCCTCAGTTATGAATGAACAGGAAGTGCTTTACATCACTTCCTGTTCATTCATGAGTTTCTCAATGGGGAGTAGCACTCTGTACAGAGGCTCCGCCCCATTCAGAAACTGGATGATAGTAAATAGGTTCTGAATGAATGGGAAGCCTCTGTACTGAGTGCTTTCCATTCATTTAGAACAGAAGCTGCAGAAAAGAGATTGAGGACTTTGTGTCCTCAATTTCTTTTTCTATTTTAAAAGAGAAATATCGAGGGCTGTTTAGACCCCTAATATTTCCCCAACAGTCCCACCCCTGAATGCAGATATTTTTTCGTTGGTAGATCTCATTGAGCTCGTCATTTGAAAAGTAGATTTCCAGATGAAAAATTGTGGGCGCCCCTGATGTAGAGGGGCATTGCTGGCTGTTGTACATCTAGAGGGGTACTGCGCGCTGTTGTACGTGTGGAGGGGCACTGCCGGCTGATGTACATGTAGAGGGACACTGCCGGCTGTTGTACATGTAGAGGGACACTGCCGGCTGATGTACATGTAGAGGGGCACTGCCGTCTGATGTACATGTAGATGGACACTTCTGGCTAATGTTCATGTAGTGGGGCATTGATGGCTGCTGTACATGTAGAGGGGCACTGCAGGCTGATGTACATGTAGAGGGGTACTGCTGGCTGATGTTCATGTAGTGGGTCACTGCCGGCTGCTGTACATGTAGAGGGGCACTGCAGGCTGATGTTCATGTAGTGGGTCACTGCCGGCTACTGTACACAGGGCAGCCATCAGGGGGGTACGGCCGATATTCATGTAAGGGGCCTGGGGGGCCCGCCCGGGTCCCTTACATGACTATCGGCCGACGGTTAAGGGCGAGGAGGTGGAGGCCTGGCCCTAGCAGCGCGGGGCCCCATCATTGCCGCTCCAGCGGCTTTGAGACAAGCTAGGGCCCCATCAGCGACGCTGCTCGTCTGATGTCGGACCGGCCGGAAGTGACGTCACATTGGTTATGTGACGTCACTTCTGGCCAGTCCGGCGGCAGACGAGGCCATGTGTGCAGGTAAGAGGAGCTAGGAAAGGAGGGAGGGGAGGGAGGGATGCAGCCCTGAGAGCCCTTCAGAGCCCACCATAGACAGTCTCAGATGGGCTGTGCAGCATCTATGGTGGGCTCTGCAGGGTCACTCACAGGTGGGTCCTGTGTCCAGTGCGTCACTAAGCCCTGCGTCCAGCGGCGCGGTGGGGGCCCGGCCTAAAGCCGTGTAAGGGGCCCCAAAATTTCTGATGGCTGCCCTGACTGTACATGTAGAGGGACACTGCCGGCTGTTGTACATGTAGAGGGGTACTGCTGGCTGATGTTCATGTAGTGGGTCACTGCCGGCTGCTGTACATGTAGAGGGGCACTGCTGGCACAGGGAAGTGTGATCTGGTAAGGATAGGAGATGTCCACTGTGCCTGAGATAGTGTGCTGCCTCATGTTGAGTGGAATTTATGTGGAGGGGCGAGTAGATGTGTTGCTGGGCATAGAAATGTCATGGTGGTTGGTCATGTAGGCATGTCAGTAGTCCATGTCAGTAGGAAACTTGAGCCAACAATACAAAATGTGCGAGCAGAAAGGTTTTTCTAATACAGAAGAGATACCTGTGGCAGATGTATACCAATACTGCCTTAATGATTGCGGCTGTTAATTTCTCACATTTTATTTTTCATATCACAAGTTATGGACAGAGTCATTATCTGTGTGCACATTGCATAATAAATGATAATATCTGCACCTGTTTAAAACTTGCTCCTTGATTCTGTGATAGATGTCTGGTTAGATCATTTGTAAAACAGATGCTTGCAGTTGTGGCAGAAGAGAGAGAAGAGAAGGTTGCTATTTGACCCCACAATCACGCAGAACGAAATCTGTTGCTTTGGTCAAAAAACAGACTTAAAGATTCATGCTAACATTTTTTCCTTAAAATCAAACAACAATACGTAACTGCATTAACAAATGTCCCCCTGTGTCTCTTCTGCAATTTGGTGTACAACCCTGGCTTCTCCTGGGTGCTGAGTTCTACTGTGAAGAGGGAACTGTGATGTGAAAGGGGGGACTCTTATATTTAAGGGGAGTTCTGATGTAAAGAGACTCTGATGTGAAAGTGGGGTTTCTGATGTGAAATGGGTGGCAGTGATGTACAGGGGAACTCTGATTTGAAAGGGGACTATGATGTAAACCGCATCCCTTTTTTGTGTGTAGAGTCCCCCCTTAGAATCCATACCAAATCCTCATCTGGGATAAGGGTCTGTTATGAGTTGTGGAGGGGCCACACATCATTTTTTTACATTTTAGACTGTAGTGCCTTAAGAATTTTAATATTTTTAAAGGGTCCCCGTGACTGAAAAAAGGTTGAGAAACGCTGTTCTAGAATAAAGGTCTGCTGGAATGCTCAGAGGCTGCCATGGCTGTTAGCTGGATGGAAACACCACTAGATTCCGAGATACTGTAGTTGGAAAATCCCGCGCCAAGTGTGGCAAGGATGCCGAACAAGAAAAGCTAGACAGAGCTGAATGTTTACTGAAGTCCACGCTGCAAACGTTCTCCTTACAGTTGCTAAAACTGTTTGTTGTCTTCAGATGACAGCAAGCAATGTGCATGCTCAGCAGGAGGGAAGGCATCAGAGCTTTGACAGGTGGGTATAAGGAACAGGCAGTGCAGAGAAAGGCGACACATGCTGCTGCTGTCCATACTGTATAGCAAGGAAACAATAACAGCACTAGAGCCAGTTGTCAGGGAGTGAAAAGAAACTACCATGCAGCAGGGAGAGGTTCTTTTTTTATGCGGCTTTAAGGGTAACATTGAAATTTCATCATTCCTTTAACCGCTTGAAGACCAGGTGTTTAGACCCCCTTACTGGCGAGGCCATTTTTCAATGTTCAGCGCTGCAGTACTTTGACTGACATTTATTCCGTCATGCAGCGCTGTACTGAAATTAATTTTCTACCATTTTTTGGGGACAGATAGAGCTTTCTTTTGGTGGTATTTAATCACCACTGGGGGTTTTATTTTTTACTATATGCAGGAGAAATTACAGAATTTTTTTTTTTATACCTGATGCATGTTTACATGCGTATGTAGGGAGTTTTTAAAAAATATTTTTTATGTGTTTACTTGAAAAAAATTTGGGGGGAAACTTTACACTTTTTTCCTATTTTTTTTTTTCACTTAACTTTATTGCTATCACAGAGGGGGCTGAGAAACCCCTCTATGTGATAGCAAAAGAGGTCAAGACCCCTAATGTCACCTAGGACCCCCCTGAAGAAGCTGATGAAGCACAGATCTGCTTCATCAGCTTCTCTCCAGCATCTGAAGCTGGAGAGTGACACAAGAATGCGGAAGTGATGTAATATACACCACTTCCGCATTCTGACAGAGGAGAGGGCACCGGAGGGAGTTCGTGAACCGACCTCCCTCTGATCCCCTGTGACAGAGGCAGTATGCTGGTCCCGGGCTCACACCGGAGCCTGGGACCAACTTGACAGC